GAACTCCAATCTCACATTGAAACAAGTAAACAAGCACTTACCAAGAACACAGGGCCAACATCATATGTCTAAGAGTTACAATTTTTCAAACAGAAAATAACCAGTATTGTTGAGGATATAAAGAAACTGGAACTTCAATGCAATGCTGATGAGAAGATAAAATGGTGTAACCACTATGGAAAAGTTTGGAGGCTACTCAGAAAATAAGCAAGAGAGCCAGAAATTCCACACCTAGGTAAGTACCCAAAGAGTCACAAACACACCTATAATGCCATTATTCATTGCAACAGCATGCACAAGCGCCAAGAGAGGGAAACAATGCAAGTGTCCATCAACAGACAGATGGATAAGCAAAATGTGTAAATCCACCCAGTGGACACCATTCAACCGCAAGAAATTACATAGTTGGATACTTCAGTCACATAGGTAGGGTGCTTGCCCAGCAACTGTAAGGTCCTGGATTAATTCCCTAGCACTGAAAGCAAGAAAAAGGAATTACATTCTAAGCAGTATACCAACTTGGGTGACCCTCAAAATCATTATGCTAGAAAAAAGAAGCCAGAAACAAACAGAAGTATTTTAATATTTAGAACAGGCAAATCCATACAGAAAGTAGACTGGACATTACCAGGGACTAAGGAGAAGACACAATGAAGAGGTATGGCTTAATGTGCTTGGGTCAATGAATATGGTTTAGGAAGAGTGGGAATATACTTATTGTCACTTAAAATTAATTACACACTTAAAAACTAGCAGGACAAATTTTACATGTATCTTACTAAAATGTAAAAAATCTATTACAGTTAAAATCTATTGAATTTTAACTGTATGATATGTGAAATAGATACATACTGCAAAAAAGTTTTTTTTTTTTCCTCATAGCCTTGGCTGTTCTCAAACTTGTGATTAATCTGCCTCAGCTGCCCCAGTGCTGGGATTAGAGTGTGTACCACCATGCCCAGCCAATAAAGTTCTTTAAACAATAAATGACTATTGGAGATCACTTACATCAATGAGTAGAGTGTGAGAGTAAGAAAACAGCTGCGCTACGCGTAAGCAATGTTTCGTTATAATGGCAATTTGTAGTAACATAGCTTGACTATATCAGATTCCTCTAGTTCTGATATAATATACAGTATAGCCTAAGATAAAACCACTCAGTAGATATTTTAAATTAGGGGAGGGGAGATCTCAAACAAAACAGCAGATATATGAAGAGTCCCCAACCTTTCAAAGTACATTAAATGAGCGATTTCCAATGACGAAGTAAGAGCACCTGTTATGGAAATACACTAAACAATGATAATGCTCGTGCCCATTGTTCTGAAGTAATAACTGCAAGTCATCCCTATTGACTTCTACCAGGCAGCAATAGCAACTGTGGGGTCCTCACAGTTGCTAGGAATATCCAGAAACGCCTCTGCGCACACCCACTCCAGTCTTCACCCTTGTATCTGCTCTGCTGTAAGTTTCTTTTTAAAACTCCCACAGATCAGAATTTTTAGTAAGCCAAGCTAACTCCAGATACCAATGTAATTGATTTACCCTCTCACATTATAAACAAATGCTGAAAGGAATTTGATATTTTAGATTATCAGCTCCTTCTTCCATTAGAATGGAAAGTAAAGACCTAACTCTAGGCCTTTACAAATGTGGGCAAAGGGCAAAGAACAGGCCTGATGTTCTGCTGTGAGCTAAAGAATAGGTGGGGCTCCTCATCATGTGACTTAATGGGACCATAAATAACCTGACAGGAAGTCTGGATTCTTAGCCTAATTTGGTGTTTTATTTTTAACACTCTGTATTTACTTAAGGTTTGAATAACCCTGATAAAAATTCAATCTACATGTCTTTCCAAAAGATTACCAAATTGACTAAATTAGGCCTGAAAATGGCAGAAAATGAATGGATTTAAAGATCAGTCGTGCTGGTGGAGTGGCTCAAGCAGTAAGAATGCTTGCCTAGCAAGCACGAGGCCCTGAGTTCAAACCCCAGTGCTGCTGCCAATAAATAAATAAATAAATAAATCAGTCATTTGAGGAAAAGACTACATAATAACTGAACCAGACAGAATAGTAACCAGAAGAGAATCTCCAAACATGGAGCAGTGGTTCCTAACACTGTGAATGATTCTATATAAAGAGATTTTCTGGATCAAGACTTGAGTTTCTCAATAGTGGAATAAAACAAAACATTACAACACTAAACTCTCCCCAAGGGAATTTGAGGAAAAGCTTTGAAGAGAGGCCTGGGCAAATAGCATATGAGAGCAGAAAGTTTTGTAATGGCTCCAAGCATCATGTGTTTTGAAGTCATCAATTAGAAAACATGACCTGAAAAGAGCCTACTATGTGGCTGGGTCATAGAGAACATAAAAACCAGTGTCATGATTGGTAAGTACATTACCTTGAGTGGGCCAATTTCTGTGCTCCATGGTCACATACCAAACTTTATAGTGGCCATTATTCCTGGACAATGTGAACTGACTTCACATTATTATTATCTATTATTGCTACCAAGAAAGTATGTAGCAACATTCCATGAACAAAACAAGCAGCAAGATGCTGTGTACAACAGACAGGACTAGAGTGTAGAAGCCTCACTCTGAGTTGACTCCCAGCTGCATCTCCACGCTTTACCCTCGTGTACTCAATCACTTGTCCTGTCTAGGTCTGCTTTGGTATCTGTAATTTTAGATAGGGGGGATTTCTAGGTGCACAGGGCCTCCAATACTTTACATACTGAAGTTAAAAATGTCAAGATCAGTCAGGAGGTCAGTGAATGCCCTATTCCCAACTTCAGCCATGGACAGCTGGAAGCCTAGGCTCACTACTACTCAGGTAAATAAGAAGAGTTCCCCTTAGATCAACAACAAAATTATACTGATTTTATTTGGGATTCTTCTCAAGTAGCAACCAGCATTGATGATTAGGAGACAGGATGCTATGGAAGACTTCCTGCTGGTGTGAAGGGAGAGCTGAGTACCAGAAGATTAGCAACCTATAACTAGACTCCAGGAGCAGCAACACGTTATCTCCGGCCAGCCGGCACAGGGGCAGACAGGCTTAAACACCTCTACTTCTGATGACACTTGGACGCAAAGAAAATTTGAAATTACATTTGCTGGACTGTAAGGAAGGAAACAGCTTTTGACTATTATCATTTACTAAAACAATAACTCAAGTTATTCATTAAAAAAAAATTCAATCTACTCCCTGAGGAAATGAGGGAATGTTGCCTTGCTAGATGACAGAGGTCACTGTAAAAGCCTATTGTCCTGCAGACAGTGAGTCAGGGACATCTTTATGCACGCTCCAGAAACAAAGCAAGGCAAGGCGAGTCCATTTTGTGAACCAGCGTCAGCTGCTGTTACTTCCTTTACAAGAACAATGAAACCAACTTTAAAGCACACTGAACATTCTTGCATTTAGAAATATATCCACCTTGGCAGAATAAAAGAAAATACTGCCTACATAGAATTTGTGGCTTTAGTTTAAAATTTAGTTACATTGAGAAAATACTGGTTTTATCTATGTAGTGAAAAAAATTACAAAATACTTTCTTTTGGAGGTGGGGATTAAACCTAGGGCATTGAATATGCTAGCTAGGTGCTCAACCACTGAGCTCCACAAAATAATTTTTATGTAAAAACATTCAATTATATAATTGTGCACTGCTGTGCTCTCCTGATAATAACTGGTTTACGTTTTGTTCCATGGGAGACAGTTAATCTGAGCAGAGCTTGTTTACCCAAATGCAGAGAAATTCTGGAGATACTAAAACCTGAAGATGTTTCTATGACTTTATGTGAAAGGACAAACTCATTCTTTTAAGGATAGACACATCTTTTATTTCACAGTCTAAAAACCTTCCAAGATTGTATGACAATGACACAATTATGCAAGTAAAGTCTCATAAAGGTTTCCCTTGGGACTTCAAAAATCATCAGAATAGCAGGTCTGCAATAACCCTCTTATATGTCTGCTCAGAGCAACTGGCAGGGCACCTGCAGGTCCTATAACAACATAAAGCCCAGAGAGACGTTCCCAGAAGCCTGCACAATGGCACTGTATTGCAACTGGTCAAGTGGCCACTGCATTTTAGGAAGCCCCCTTTATACTCTGCATTGCTTTAGTCAGCTGGCTTAGGCCAACTGCCTGGAGCAAGCTGGACCGGCCTCAATGACACTCCTCCACTTGAAGACCAGTTTCCAGCAACTGAAACTAAACTCAGCTTCCTTTCACCTTCCCCTTGGCTGCATTCCCTTGGATTGTTTTGTTTTCAGCATACCAAAGGAGGAAAATATTTTCTAAAAAGAATGCTGGCAAAAGCTACAAAACATATGGCAGACAAGATTCCTATAAACCAAATGCTGTACAAGTTATCTCTACTCAATTATAACCGACTTGAATTTACTATATGTAGTGTAAGACTTTGCTGGCAAAGCCTTAATATGCAAGTTTTTAATCAACCAGAATAAAGATATATTTAAGAAACAAAAGAACCACAAACCTAACAGGTAAACACAAAATTTAAAACGTCAAGATTTTAATCTATTATGAGCCCATGTCTCTATCTCCTCTGGAAAAGACAAGCAGAGTGGCACACCAACATGGATGTAATAGGGCTGAATTAATGCGAGAGCGGCATTATCAGACATTTTTAACATTTCAGTAAAAACTCCAGCACAGCTAGGTATTACTTGATTAATAACTTGCACATCTGATCACAATCCATGGAGAAAGCACTTTAAAGGACTAATTAAATGGGTGAATCCCTCTCTGTTAGACTGAGCACTTTTTTTTTTCATTTTTCTTTTATTATTCATATGTGCATACAAGGCTTGGTTCATTTCTCCCCCCTTCCCCCACCCCCTCCCTTACCACCCAAGACTGAGCACTCTTATGCCACCCATCTGATTCCTGATACCAACAGGTTCTATCACTTGCCACCATAGCCTGTAGAAACCCCCTATAATTATATCATCAGGGAATACTTACGTTCAAAGCATTCTTCGCAGCTTCTGCTTCTGAGCGACTGTCAAAGCTGACAAAACCTACAGGCTGAAGGAAAGAAAGAGACATATGAAGGAAAAATATCAGGGAAAGTCGGTTTTTCTGGGTCAAGAGTGATGTCAAACTGGAAAGCTAAGATAAAGAAATGACCCCAAGCAATGGGTAGAAATAAGAAAGCCAGTCCCAAAGAACATGACTCAGTGGCTTAGCCAAATGTCTAACATGAATCAAAAGAATGGTGAGGGTAGTTCTTCAAGGCACAACCAGGGATTAAGAGAATCATAAAAAAAAAAAAAAAAAAATCTAGAGGTGGTTGGAAGGTGAGCAGCAGTGCATAAGGGGATAGAGGAAAATTCGGGTTGGAGAGGCTCTACTTTCCTAAATCGAATTCACTGTACCTCAGTTTCTTCATCTTTTAAAATGGAAAGAGAACCGAATCACCTTTTGGTACACTGTAAGTGCAAGGAATACAATGACACAATGAAAAAGCCCTATACTCTCACTGCATGACCAAAATTACAAAGCGAACATGTCCATCTCAAGTCCCAAAGGATGCCTTTTAAAAGTCCTGTTTAATTAGGCATGGAAAGCATATTGTTCCAAGTAAACAGGGCTCATAATCCCTTTGGACGCCACATCTTCAGTCCAGCAGGATGCCTGCAAGTTAGCTTCTATCTAATAAACCAGAGAGATGAACGGATTGAGGCACGTGTGCCGAGTGTTAGCTTAGGGGAGCAAAAAATTTTAAAAAATTAAAAGAAAAAAAATATATAAACAATCTCCAAGAAGCTCAAAGGAACTATTAGGCCATGGAAAACCACCTTCATTCTGCACCTCCTATGCTCCATTCTATACTTGGGAGCCTGCCTGTGGCTCTCAGGGGTTAAGAGACAAAATGATTCTTCACCATCTGTTTAACCTCATAAAAAGAAACAGACTGAGAATAAAGTAAGTTTGGATAGCAGTTCATCCTTTCCTTTCATTACACATTGCAGTCTCACTGTAACTGCTAGAGGTATTAGATTTGCTGTCTTCTGGTACCAAACACCCTACCCAGAGACTATGGAATTTGACATCATTTTCCTATGCTAATTTCTCATCATTCTCACCTTTAATTTTAAGGCAACAACAAAAACATCAAATCCTAATTGAAATAAACAATGTATGTTAAGTCCCATGAAGGTAATCATTTGTAGAAAAATTTCAAATTCTTACCTGCTTAGATGTGAGCTTTATAAGAGAACCCTCATAGCCCTAAAAATAAAGAAGAACCAAGTTTAGCAAAGAAAAAAATCCCAAAAAACAAAAAACAAAACGAAACCTAAGGGAAGAAAGCAATTACAGTACCATTTTGCTCATGTAAAATGAGTCATTTATGACTGGTGATTTTCTAGCTCTTCTCCTAAATGTCTCCATTTAGTGAGTTGGAAAAGCACACTGTAAATACACACACACACACACACAAATGCACACGTACATTTGTGTAAGAGCCTAAAATGTATGTATTTATCTGTTTCTCTTCTTTACATTTTTTCATGAAATTAGACAATGGTAGGAAAATGGGTATGTTTGTCCACAACAGACCTTTCTTGTTTAATTAGTTTAGATAAGATAGTGATTTTGTAAAACTAGAATAGGGAAGGGTAAATTTAGTAAGAGAAGATCACAGCCGGTTTGACTTGGTTATACATTTGCTATAAAACAACAATGAAACAAAGCGTATAGTAGGTACAACTTCTTGATCAAAACACCAAAATGGCTGGCAAAGTAGCTCAGTGGTGGAGCACTTGCCTACTCTGCACAAGATCCTGGATCCAATCCCCAGCAACTAGAGGGCTCAGGAAGGGAGGAGAAACAAAAAACCCACACCACTTCAAAACTACCAGAAAAGGCTGGGCAGGCAGTAACACACATTTGCTGAGTTCTTTTGCTTACTTAATAAAGCAGCCAGTTTTCATGGTGGTATTCTAGTGGGGACATGGAAAACCCCCCCATCCTCAGAAGTTAGAAACACCCCTTCCTTTCACTATCTTTTACTCCTTCTGGTTCTTCAGGTAAGGGTAACAAAGTGTGTTTATTTCTGAAAATAATCAATGGCTGGTGGTTTGCACTGATGGATGACACAGAGAGGAAAACACACTACTTGACATGATTGACCACTACACACATCAGCGTGGAGACAGATTTGTACACTACAGTTGGCAGCCAGGAACTTTAATTAAAGAGGGTTGTTAGAAATGCAGCAAGGTCCTGACTTCAGTGGTGGGGTTTCTGGACAGGATGTTGGGATTGATTCATCCTCACATCTTCTGAGCAGAAAACTGCATTACCAATTAGCTACTATAAACATTTTCCCTCCAAGGCCTTCAGCGTTTCTGGCCAGAGAGGTCATGATTCACAGCCTCTTCTTTTTTCAAGGGGCTCCCTCCTGAAACACCTGGAGGCTTAAGCACTGTGAAGGCCTTGGAGACAAAGGACATATGGATATTTCACTCAAGTAAAACATCACTGGTAGGCAAGTGCTATTTCTGCAAGTCACAAATAGAAAACAGTCAAATGTTTGACTACCCTTTATGATGTGTGTCAATGTCAGCATAATTGATTCCACTGCTCCCAGTCTCATTTTCATAATTTGAAAAAATGGAACTAACGCACTTTTAACAATTCTGACAATTAAATGAGATAATTCATAAGTGACTTGCTGGTTGACTCTGTCCGTCCATACAAATATATAATGGTATTTTGTCTGTTAAGATGAATTAGCTTCAAGTCTCTACTCCACAGAGAAAATTGACCCATTTGTGCAACTGCAACCCTGAAGAAATTCAGAAAATCCTATGAAGCTGGCTCTTCTCTTCCCAACACCTCCTTCTCCCTGCTCACCTCCTATCAACCAGCCTTGCATCTAATCTTACTGTTCCCTCCATGCCATGGTGACTGCTGCACCAGGGGGATGGCTGTCAGAATGGACTTCTGCCCATTATTAAGTGGTGCCTTTTTGGTTTATAAGCTACACTTGAATCTTTGCTGGTTTTACCTACCTGTTCCCTCAACGTTCTTTCCTTTTTTTCCAACTCAGATGTTCTGAGCTGTCACCTCCTGTTTAATCCTGTCCCTCAACCTGCCCTGCCTCAATCAGGATGGATCTTTAATCACAAACCATAACTGTCCATCACTTAACTATAGTGCCTGGTCCCTGCCAGATATTACTGCTAACATACACCAACCAACAGAGACCTCCTAGGAACAGATCATGAATTAATTACACTGTCTGGGTCCACATTCTGGTGAGTTCTAGCTTCCTACTAGCCTCTAAAGGCAAATCTGCAAGGTTTCTTCTTGACAGCATGGTTATTTAAGTTTTAGTCCAACTTCCTGTTAAGTTTTCATTCCCAGCAATGTTACATGTCTCTAAAATGATTTTATTTCTATACCCAGGACAGACAGGCAACCGCATTAAACATTTCACTAAACCAGGAAAGATTCCCCTCAATTATAAAAATTTTTTACGGTGTTTAAAACCTAGGACTTTTGCTGTGGTAAGAATAATGCTAGATTCTTAACTCAGTTCATAAAAGCCTGTTTATTTTTATGTCTCCAACAGTACCAAGAGTGCTATTCCAACTAATTAGAAGACACCTACAGATAAGGTTTGATTTGCACTACTGAATTTAAAACATAAATATGTAAAAAGTCATTTATAACTCTGTGTGTGTGTGTGTGTGTGTGTGTGTGTGTTGCTAGAGATCAAAGCCAGCACTTTTGCACACTAGTTAAGTACTCCACCACTGGTCTACATCCCCAGCTCAATTTGTAACTTTTAATGACCTGTACATGGGAGTGAACCACCAAGTAGGGGTAGAACAGGGAGAATACACAGAATAGAGACCACTAAGGCTAGCTACATGTGTACATCTGCGAGAGAAGAAACTTTTCTACGTGAGTTGTTGGGGGCCACAAGACAATCTATCATTCTAAACAGCGAGCTCAGTTGTTAACTTTACTCATTAATCTTTTAATAAACCTCTGTTTGTAGGGTGCTTTCTCAAGCATTTTTTCTTTCTCCAAAAAAAGCCACCACAAAGCATTTAGTATAGTCTTTTTGTCCCCATCTATGATTTCCGAAAGACAGACAAGATACCTTAAATGGTCTGAAAAGCAGATAGAGTTCCCGAGGTTTGATGTCCAGAGGGAGACCACTGACAAATAGGGTCCGGACCTAGAAAAATAAATTTAGAAAGTGAGCAAGGGTGTAGATAATCCAGGACAACTTTCACCTGAAATTTCAAAACCATACTTCTCTAAATATTCATGACTGCTACACCAAATTCATGTTGTTTCCACAAAAATGAATGATGCTAAGATGCTATTAAGGCCTGGGGGCTGGTGGATCATGCCAGTAATCTAAGCTACTTGAGAGGCTGAGATGAGGAGACTGAGGTGTGAAGCCTGCCTGGGCAAATATTGGAGAAATCTTATCTCCAAAATAACCACAGCAAAATGGACTGCAGGTGCGGCTCAAGTGCAAAGCCCTAAGTTCAAACCTCAGTCTTCCCTCCTCTGCCCCATTCCCCCCCACCCCCATAACAAATCATTAAGCCAACTCTTACTCTCACAGTTATTTCCATGTAAGTCACTCAGAGAATTTTATCTAACTGGTTTAAAGTAATAAGCTACTTCCCCTTTCTCAACCAGCTACTGCCCAATTCTAAAACATGGGGGCAGATTTCATGTAATTTAAGAATATCAGTTTAAGAAACAAATGTCTTGAGAATGGTAATCTATCACTCCTTGGCCCTAACCTTATGGTATACAACATGCTTGAAAAATCAAATCGAAACAACTTTGTCACTACTTCCTTTGATGTGTTAGTTGCAATAATTTTAACAAGTGTAACAGCACAGTTAACAAGTCAGACACATCTAGATAGTACATGACCCTGCTTCTGATCTGCTGCTCCCACTGTTCCGTGACATACCTAATACAGACAAAGTACCTGCTAAGTGCCACTGACAGATCATTCAAGACATATGCAAGCACATATGTGCAAACTGTGCGTATCCACAACTCAGCTAATAGGCTTCTGGTTGAGAATGAGAGAAAGCACACAAGCATCTGAATGGAAACTTCAGCATCGGTAGGATTTTACCAGAGAGAGATGAAAGTGAGGTCAGGTGAGTAGTAATCACAAGCACAGGAAGACACATTTACATGTAGATGTTTAATAAACGTTACGATAAACAGTCCCAGAAGACTGACTGCCTTATTTTATTATTTGCTTATTTTCAACAGTCATGTTGAGGTCTACTTGTTATATTAAAAAACTATGCATCTTGAAAGAACACAATTCATTCAATTTTGACATATGTATACCTATGACACCATCAAAATTAAAATAATCCATCACCTCATAAAGTTTTCTCATGACCTTTTCTTTGGAGACCTTTGATTATGATCATGGCCTCCACCTCATGATCCTTTTGCCTGTAACTCACTGGTGTTGAGATTACAGCCACGAACCGTGCCTGGCTTCTCCAATGCCCTGAATGCTTCCCCCACCCTGTCCCTTCACCTCCATCTCCAGGCAATCACTGATCCACTTCTTGCTGGTTTATATGTGTGCTCCAATGGTTTACACAGTTGGAACCACAGAGTATGTATCCATTTTGTCGGGATTCATGTTAGCAAAACGTGAAACTTGATGTCCTCCATATTGTTAAATGTATCCAGCCCAGTCCTTTTTGTTACTGGGTATATTTTGTTTATACTTGTTTATTTTGTTTATCCATGCACATGTGGACAGAAATAACTTATTTCTAGGTTTTGGCTTTTATAAATAAAACTGCAACACACACGTACAACACTCTTTGTACAGATGAATGCTTTTGTTTCTCTATAAATACCTAGACGTGGAATGGCAACATACGGTAGGTATACACTTAACTTTTAAAAAAAAATCTTTCCATTCTTTGTTTTATGGATCAGAACATGGGAGGTGTTTGTGTGTAGTTAAAACAACTGGGTATTCTGGTTTGGTATGGTAGAGTCTATAAATGACAATTAGGACCAGGTTGCTTTCTATTTTAATTTTATCGTTTTACATTTTATTTTACATTTACTCACATGTGTATTTATTGTTTGGGCCACCTCCTCTTCCTGCAACAAGTTTGTCTCCATTTATAGCATTGTTCTAAAGAAAAAGGTTTTACAGACATGGTACAGTGGCTCAACCCTCTAATCTCAGCTCAGGTAGAGACTGAGAGGATGGAGGTTCAAGGTAAGTGTGGGCAAAAAGCTCAGAGGACCATCTTAACCAATAAAAAGCTGGGTGAGGCAGCACACTCCTGTCATCCAAGTTATGAGCGAAGCAAAAATATAAGGATCATTGTTCAGACTGCCTAGGTATAAAAGCAAGACCCTATCTCAAATATAGCCAAAGCAAAAAGAGTGAGAAGTGTGGTTCAAGTGGTAGAGCATCTGCCTAGCAAGCATAAGGTCTTGAGTTCAAACACCACTGCTGCAAAAAGAAAAAAAAAAAAAAAAACTTCTACATACTTGTAAATCAAACAATTTATATCAACAAGACTACTTAATATAAATTAAGGCTCATCTTTATCATGCAAAGGAATGTTATATTTCCAATAAAAATTATGTTCAAGGAAAAAAGTACATATAGTTTGACTTTATTCTGTAAAGTGGTCAACATATAGATATATTTGGATGGAAAAAAAATACTGTGTAGGATATATACCCAAGTGTCTGATGGTTTAGCCCTAAGTGGAAAGTAACTGTGATTTTAATGTTTCTCATGAGCTCATTTGTGTTTTCTGTCTTTCTATAACAAACACGCACTGGATACTCTGAAGTTTTTTTTTTTTTTTTTGTCAGGTTGAGAACTGCCTTGATTTGTTACCTGGATTTCCTTAGGAAGCCAAGGGAAAAAAGTCAGTATTTGTTTCAATATGAATTGTAGCCAGGTGCCGGTAGCTCTTAGCTACTCAAGAGGCAGAAATGATGAGGATCGAGGTTCTAGGCTAGACCAGCGGAGTGGCTCAAAGTGGTAGAGCACCTGCCTAGTCAGCATGAGGCCCCTGAGTTCAAACCCCAGTACCACAAAAAAAAAAATATGTGTATGTGTAGGTATATATATGTGTGTGTGTATGTAATTATACACATAATGATTTATTTATATATATAAAAACTGTGACCTTTATACATAAATTGTGGTGTTTATGGAGGAAACTTTACTTCATGTACAATGAGATGTGACAGATTCTTACCTAAGAAACTGCAAAGGGTACAAAAAAAAAAAAAAAAAGCAAAAGCAAAAAACAGCTCTGGTAGGCCTAAGTTTGCAACTCACCTATAGAAACCAAGAGGCTCAGTGTACACACTGTTTTGTTCACCAAAATGGAGGCAACTAAAATGTTTGGCATTTCATTTAAACTTGAACATGACTTATGTTTCCTAGATTCTACAGAACCTGGCAGAATATCCCACCTCTCTCAGTAAGAGTAGATCATCTGACAAGGGGAAGGAAATAATTCTTGAATACTTAGACTTGCGCCTAACTACAGGTAGCTTAAATTCATGGGCATGATGTGTGGAATTCCTCCTGGCCTGCCTCATGCCAGGTAACTACATTAACCAGATTTGAACAAACACAGATTTAACAAGTGGAAAAAGAACTCTTCCTACGTTATCTAATGTATGCTTTTCTGTGGTCATATGGATTTGAAAACACTTTTCTCATTCTTACCACCCCACTCTTCAGGGTATTATTTTTCCTAACTTCTATGGAAGTGAGAAAGTTAAGCAAGATTGTTGCCTGCAGGTAGCTTCCTGTTCTAAAGGAAACTGAATATGCAGATGGCCATCTGTGTTAACACAAAGTTTAGCTCAGTCACAAAATAACCAATTAAAACCTAAAGAATGAGATAAAAGTACACTACTCTAACAAATCTATACCCCCCCAAAAAAATTAATGCATGATCCCAAATAAAGACTGTGGTAGGTAGACTCATTATCCAGGACAGCCCTGTCTATGGACACAGATGTGCCTGGCACTACACCTTCAGCATCCACAGATGTTCATAGAGCACATGAGAAAACACATTTCTTAATCAAGGAAATGCCACACCTCATACAAGTTCAAGAGATGACACTGCTGAAAGACATATCCCAAAGGGACTCTAATGGATTCTGCAAATGTAACTCCAAATTCAGTTTTGTCCCAATAAGACTGAAGAATAATGCCAGTGGAAAATGTACTGGGAAGAAGAGCAAGAGTATTTTTGACTTGGCTATTATCTAGCATTTATGCAGAGGCCACAGTTAGATGTTGAATAAAACCAGCCATATGTTTTGAAGTGGCATTGCCAGCTCCCCCACTAAGAAAGACAAGCCACATTTTAGTGACTGACTCTCATCTAATGAGCTCCAACACAGTAAGTAAAGCCACAGTGTTGATCTTGAGATCCCCCAGATAGAAAGGTCAAAAAAGGCTCTGCAAATGTGTTTAGCAAAGAACATGCCTTATGTTGTTGGTAATCTAGACATGAGAAAAATGCTTAATTTCAGTATATCACAGGAGAATAAATCAAGAGTTTTCAACCTGATAAACATATAGTATCCAAAGATTATGGGCATTTTCAATGTGTGTCTTAGCTGTTTATGACAAGGTTTTAAGGACCAATTAATTCTAGCTGTTCGAGTTGACCTCTTGAGGTTCCTCTTAAAGTGAGAAAGGCATTTTCTCACTTTCTAGTGACTCATGAGTAATTGAAATGTTGTAAGGAGTGAAACCCAGGGCGGTGCATCTCTGTTCATCTATCCCTATATGCAATCATCCTCAATGGACTGTATTCTTTTTTCCTAAAAATGTAGGCTCCAAAAGCAGTTTGCATGTCTATTTGCATCATTTCTGTGGAGTAACCACTTTCATGGCAACACAAGTGGATCCACAGCTAAGACCTTTCTAGGGAGTTTTGAGTTCAAAGGCTCTTTTTGCAGTGTGTAGCACACTCCCACGCATAGAGCATATACTCCATCAGATAGCTCTTGACTGATTTACAAATCTTTGCAATGACATTGTGCATCTATCCATGGGAGATAACATGTTTGCCTACCAAGGAGTTCTGGAGATGACAAGCAAAAGATGAGGTGATCATATTTCCCAATTACAATTATAGTGTCGCCAGGTGCTTGTGGCTCATGCCT